TTTGTATTTTAATTGTGAGCGACTTTTCCTTTAAATCTGGCTGAGAAACCAGAAGATTTCCAGACTGGTAAAGTTCTGAGTTTAGGAGGAAAAGCTGTTTGTTTGAATAGGAGCTAAAAGGAAGTAGTTCTGACTCCTGAGAGGAGAAAATACCCATAATCCTCCAATGCTTCACTGCAGCTGAACGTCTCCTTCTGTTTCAGGCTCCTAAAACTCCTCTCCAGAAGAGCATGGACCTGCTTGGGAAGCAGCTGTCGCTCTACTCCTTCGGCATAATCGGTGAGACGTTGTCCTCCATAGAGCCCAGATCCTGCTCAGCATCTTCAGGCGGTTCTCAGTCTGCTCTGCTCCGTTTCAGGGGTCATCATGCTGGTGGGCTGGCTGCAGGGGAAGAGGATCCTGGACATGTTCACCATCGGCGTCAGGTAGCCTCATCCGCCTCCACAGAAGGAAGCCGGAACCCCCGGCCCTTTTCCATCGCTACCAGCTGGGCTGTTTGATGCAGTTGCTCAGAGCGGTGCTGAAAACGTGACATCATCAGGCTGCTGATCCGATGAGATCCCACATCTAACGTCTGCAGCTGTTAGAGCTAAAAAAAACAGAGCTTTTTTTCTGTCCCCCCTCCTGTTCTTCATCCCTCACCGCTCCATGGCGTCCGCCACCTTCTCAGGCTCTCACAAAGCCACAAACTCTGTTGAAGCTCCTCCACTTCTGCCTAACGCTAAGTTCACACCGCACGCAGCAGGAGCAGCAAAAACGCGCGTGCTGCTTCATTTTTGATGCTTTTACAAGTTTAGTTCTGATGTGCGGCTGAAGCATCTTTGCTGCTCTAGCTGCACAGTCGAAAAGTTCTTGTGGGCGGAGCTACCCTATCCTTTCTTTGCCTGGAACAATGGCGGCTATATTAGCTGTGATCAGCGGGTAAAAAGTAGTTTTAATATGTTGAAGTGAGAAAGTCCTCCTGAAAACATGGTCTGTGCAGTCAGTTCATCCAGATTATATGGAAGAGGATTAGTGCCAATGAAAAAAAAAAAAAGTTTACAGAATTCTGACTTTAATCTCAGAATTCTGACATGTGTGAGTTATTTGAGAGGGCCAGAGACACGTTGGTGGAAAATTATGGAATTAGGCAACTTTTTACGTGCCTGAGGGGTCCCCTCATTAATGGAGGAGCAGAAGGTGATTAAAACAAGAGAGCTAGTCTTTAAAAGAGACATGGCTATGGCTTGATGCTAACATGTTTGTTAGCTGTCAGAATTCTGAGAGAAAAGTCAGAATTCTGAGATTAAAATCAGAATTCTGACTTTTCCCATACTAAACTGAAATAAAATTTAAAAATCAGTTAACTATTTAGTTTTTTTTCAGTGGCCCTAATCCTCTTCCGTAAGATTACCATCCTGCCTTCAAAGATTATTTCTCTGTGGGAGCCGCTCAGACCCCCACATACCGGCGGTGCGCTGTCACTGGGAATCCCCTTCCACAACAGCCTCTGGCAGACCAGCATACCCAGTCCATACGCATACGCAAGACGTCAGATTTGCGTTTATCGCCTTTAGTTTTGTACAAAAAAACCATTTAAGGTCAGATTGCCATACGCTTCAAAAAACACAGAAAAGTAAGTTTTTTTAAACATGACTAAAGGGAAACACGCCCGTTAAGATAGTTTAAAGTTTATTTTTTGAACAAAACTAAAGGGAGAAACTAAAGGGATAAACTGGTATTGACTATGGGTATGCTGGTCTGACTGGGTATGCTCATCTGACAGAACACCGGTTGCCTCTTTGCAGTTTTTCGCTACTGTTCGCGGTGACAAGAAGTAGATGTTAGTGTTTTTAGCGTACGTAATCATCAATCAACTTTGCTGATGAAGGTTCTCAGTCATCCAGGTCATAGTCATTCCGTAAAAATTCAAAAAATATCCACTGGACTTGGTTTTCAAGATATTTTCCGTAAAAATTCAAAAAATATCCACTGGACTTGGTTGTCAAGATTTGAAGACGTTTCTTGGAAAACCAAGTCCAGTGGATATTTTTTTAATTTTTACGGAATCAATCAACTTTATTCTCAACTACAATTTACATTGCAATTGAGATTTCAGTTTCAGCACAAACCATTCATCACAATACATAACATACATTGGGGGGGGCTGAGAGGGGGAACGGTTTTATTGAGGCCTTGCGTGCCCCAGAACGTTGCCTTTGGCACATTCTCATGGCTTCCCTGGTTCCCACGGATTACCTGGCTTCCCAGGTCCCAGGCGGTTACCTATAGGGCCCCTTTATCTGTGCAAAGACAGGAGCCACAATGGGCAAAAGAAGGGGGGGGGGGAGCATATTTGAAACTTGATCGTTGACAGGATACAGTTTCAGATGAAAAAAAAAACCTCAGCAGAAGAAAACCACATGTAACACGAGACAGACATTTCAGCAGAGGGTCACATCGGAGGCGGAGTCGCATCAATCCAATGTAATCCAAACTGCAGGCAGCAGGATAATAAAAGCCAACATATTCTGCCGGCAGGTTTCTACATTTGAAGTTAATTTAGGCGTTAATAAACTGTTTCAGAGGAGTAAAGCATTGAATCTGCATGTAAACCTGCTGCCTCTGCTGTTCGCGTTCTGACGTAGCGTTATGTTTGCGTCGCATACAGACAGAGATGGTCAGCTCACAAGTTGAGCCGATCGGATCCGAGCAGGAACCACAATGCAAGGGCCAGTAGAGCCATTCAGTCACCGGACGACTTGGTTTTTCTTTATTCATGCTGGAAGATCCACACACTGTTGTGGATCTTTTTTTTTGGGATGGTTGAAGGTTCTGATCCCTCTCCTTTGGTCTGGGTGCCTCTAAAGCCTTTCCCCCCCAGATTTTCCAGCAGAATTCCCGGTCCGTCTCTGCTGGTTTCCTTCTTGAGCAGAAGCTTTTTATTTGACCCAAAAACTCCTCCAGTATTGAGCAAGCTCTGCACCGGTGGAACCAGGATTCTGCACCACAGCTTGTTGAACCTGCTGAGTGATTTCTCTCCAGCAGAGTCTCTTATTTTGACCTGTTGATGATCCTCTGCTAGCATGAGAGCTCATCCCCGGTTCCATGTATGGAGAGACATCTGTTCCGATATTATTTAACAAAAAAAAATTAAATTTTTTAAAAGAAAATCTCTTTTTAAAAAATCGAAGTCTGACAAACTTCTCAATCATAAAAAAAACAAAACATTGAGCATAATTTAAGTATATGCAGCAGTATGCATAAAAATGTACAGTTTTTATCTTCAATATTTTTTTGGTCTTTTTTTTTTTTTCCAAAATTTGATTTTATATGTTTTTTTATTTTAATTTTCAAATATTTTAGATCTTAATTTATGTTCAGATTTGGAAAAAATATGAAAAAAATGTTTAAAAATGTTAGTCTTTCAGACTTTTCAGACAATTTTTTTTTTATGCTTAGTTTTGTTTGGGTGGGAGGGAGCGTTTTTCAATCTTTTCAAATCTGGATTTTTAAAATTTCACCTTCTACATTTCCTCTACGTATGCCAGGGTGGTCTGAGCTCGGACCAATGGGAATTAGACGCTCTGCCTGGACGTTAGCAACTGCATTTCTATTGGTTCCTCAGACAGAAGGGTGGAGGGTAAAATGTGTAAAAAGGGATTTGATAAGAAAAGTAGAAAAATAAAATCTGAATGGAACAGATTTCTCTCTGTTCACATGAGTTAAAACTGAGGTTTTTTGTTAATGAATCCAGTTTGATCAGTTTGTCTTCTCCTCCAGTCTGGCTGTGGCGGCCATCCCAGAGGGCCTGCCCATCGTGGTGACGGTGACGCTGGCGCTCGGAGTGATGCGCATGGTGAAGAAGAGAGCCATCGTCAAGAAGCTTCCCATCGTGGAAACTCTGAGTACGTATCCATGACGATGCTTTTTTACTGTCATTACACTGTCACAAGTACAGAGCAACGGAATGAACTCTCTGCATTTAACACATCCCCCTGGGGAGCAGTGGTATCACATTGCACTCATTGCACTGATTTTCTGCAGTATTTTTTTGATGCAACTTTTCTACTTCTGTTATTTGCTGTTGTTTCTAAAAAAAAAAAAAAATGCATAACGATATTACAGCTTTCATTGATTTATTTCAAATTTGAAACATTGTCTAGCCGATAAATCAAATTGTGGTGTATTCTTGAGTATCAAAAATAATCAAATCGTTGGGTCAGGAAATCGATACTGAATCGCCATGATGGGTGTGATTTACAGCCCTACTATGGGAGTGGGGCTTGAACTCAGAACCTCCAAGACTAGGGATGCACGATATTGGGATTTTGGCCGATATCCGATATG